ATGGTGCACACCTGAAAAGTGAATGTTTTTTTGGTTTATATTTTGTTGATTCCGGGGCTATTATTTGCGTCCTATAAAATATTTCAGAGCACATTTGTCCTGATTTTGTCCGGATTTCTGTATTGTTGTCCGGAATTTCCAAAAGACTTTATGGAAACCCTAGATGTAAAAGAACTAGAGGTTAGAAGAAAACTAGAAGAAAGAGGAATGTTGCTTCTGTTTTATCAACGTTAATTTAAAAATGTATAACAACAAATAGCAACAAAACTATTTAATTGTATGTTACAGATTATTGCTGTAAGTTCCAATTTCATAAGAATATCTCGGAATTTTTGGCGCATTCGCCAATATGTCAATAAATTTCATCATTGGAAAAACATAATATATGCTCCATTGCTTAAACATAGAATCTCTAGACACATGAAAGAGACATCCTAGATAGAATAAATTCAGTGTTTACTATAGTAAATCTCTTTAATCCTTTCAAAATAATATTTTCAAACATATTATGTTAAAGGTTGCATGAGAGAGGTAATATTAATGTAAAATCAAAAACGCCCTTGAGCTAGATTGATATTATAACACAGTTAGTTTGAAATGCATTTTTATAAGGTTTATCTCAGAAGAATATACAGGGTGTTCGAAAAATACACGGTCAAATTATAAATTATTTTTATAAACCCCTTTAAAATTATGGTTATGTGTGAATATTTAGATATTTAGATATATTTCAGATAGTAGGTTGTAGTTGTTAACCGGCCGAGAACTTAGCACAAGGAAACTATCGTCGCGGTCCTCACTCTGCCATAGTCATCCCGTGCTACAGTTGCAGCCAAAACTGTGCGGCAGCGTAACCGTTACAGTTAAACCTTTTCACGCAGCTAACACACATCAATGATGGAACATTCGAGTGGGATAAAATCATTGTCCGGGGGTGAAATACCCCCTCAATCGGATCTTCGGGAGGGGTGCCTACTCGAGCGTATCATTGGAGAAATAAAAAAACATCAATGTTTCACGTTTGCAGCGTGGAACGTCCGCTCTACTGGACAAGATAAATTCAAATCGGCCAGAGAGAAGAACAGCACCGGTCTCACAGGAACTCTACCGACTAAATATAGATGTTGCCGCTCTTAGCGAACCCCGCTTTACGGATGAAGGTAGTATCACTGAGGAGCATTACACCTTCTTTTGGAAGGGTCACCCCGCAATACACAGGAGAATTCATGGCGTAGGCACTGCAATCAAAAACATAATCGCCATCAAATTAACAGAAGTACCTATTGGTGTCTCCGAACGTCTTATGACCCTAAGGTACCCCATATCAGACAAAACTTACGTCAACATAATTAGTGCCTACGCTTCCACCATAGACGATAAAATTGAGGATAAGGATAAATTTTACCAAGCTCTACAAAATGCTCTCCAACGAATTCCAAAGCACGAATGAATTATTTTGCTAGGTGACTTTAATGCTCGTGTCGGTAAACAACAGGAAATATGGCCTGACGTATTGGGAAAATATGGAATAGGAAACGTAAATAGCAATGGTGAACGCTTATTAACAACATGTACAGAGTATAATCTTTGCATCACCAAGTTTAAAGGTACCTGTAAACATCCCAGATCAGGTCACTGGCATTAATTTGACCACGTATGTGTCTTAGCGCCTCTGCTATTCAACATATTCATGGCAGCGCTCTCCATTATAGTGGACGGCAAACTGCAGGAGAGAGGATTGGGCATTAGATACAGACACGACCCACAGTGATAGAAAATGGAATTCTGAAGTTCCAAAATTCAAATTTCTTGTTGACTTAAATCTTTTACAAAATGATATATTATCCTTCAAAGAAAGCTAATAAACAACATCCCAGTCGCTCTGGCTAAGAAACAATTGCTCCACGTTGACAACAAGTCGAAACAGTTAATACGCCGTTTAGAGAAATTCTGATCTCTGTTTCGATTGGAGTCTTAATCGTTTCGTTAAATTAATGTTTGTGTGTTTTGATTTCTCAAACACATGCTGAATATTTCTGTAGATATGTAATTTGTGTTTTACATAAAATTATGATGTTTAGTATGAAAGCTACTTTAGGACGCTCAATTAAAGTGTACATTGTAAATTAACGAATAATGCGAAAACGTTGTTGCATAACAAGGTAGAACTTCTTTGTGCCTTGTTACGAGTTCCAAATACTAACATCATTTTGTTCTCTACATTTTTTCCTTCTAAAAAAAAACAAAAAACTTTTGCCACCAGGCGCCCCTCCTCATTTAATATACAGTGTCCACTATAATGTTGGCTACATATGGGAAATATTTTTATTTATGGGATTTCCGAAAATTTTGTTTGGTGGATCGCTCCTACATGTTTAATAACCTAAAAAGTCATTATGACATCAGTCACGTAATCACTATCATGGCGGCAAATTAAAAAAAAACCGCTATGAAAACGCGAAAAGTGGGGTTAGATGGCAAACTATCGAAAAAAGTTATTTGAAAAAAAAGTTTAGAATGATATTTTAAGGCTACCTGCAAAATTTGGAGCGGAAATAAGAAAAAGTAGAAAAAGGCATATTTTGAGTCCTGGCTCTTCTATAAAATATTTTTATACAGATTTTATTGCTGGATTAGCTCAAGTAACTTGATACTCATTGTGTAAAAGTAAAACAATTCAAAATTTCACATTGAAGTCATTTCCCGAGGATAAAATCAGAAAAGTCGATTTCGAAACGATAATTTTTTGTAGCAATGCCGTGTTTCTTGGCACTTTGTCAGGTTTCCAATAATTCAGCGGTGCATGCTATACTTTGAATATCAAGTTACTTGGGCTAATCCAGTAATAAATTCCATATAAAAAATTTTCATAGAAGAACCAGGCTTGGAGCCAGGGCTAAAAATATGATTTTTCCACTTTTTATAATTGTCGCAAATTTTGTAGATAGCCTTAAAATATCATTTTAAACACTTTCGAATAACTTGTTTCGATATTTTGCCATCTAACCCCACTTTTCGGGTTTTCATAGCGGTTTTTTTAATTTGCCGCCATGACAGTGATTACGTGACTGATGTCATAATGACTTTTAAAGTTACTAAACATGCAGGAGCGATCCCCCATACAAAATTTTCGCATATCCTATAAATTAAAAAAAAACATATATAGCCAACATTATGGTAGACACTGTATAGGTAGACAAACAGGGTGAAATGTCGATTTTCGGTTATTTGCAGCTTAAAAACAGTTGAAGATAGGTATAAAACATAAAATATGTCTAGAATTTGACATAAAATCCACAAATAAAATAACAAATATAGGTGTTTCCATTAAAACCAAGAAGTTATCTGGCATAACTCAATTTTTGGGAAACCCTGTATACATTAAAATATCATCAAATATCAAAAAATGGCTTCATGGCATCATTCAAAAATGGCATCAACAAAATCAATAATCGACGTGTCCGAGCGTTTTTTCGAAAAAAAGAACATTGATTTTTCTTAGATTCTCACTGTGAAAATAAATAAACAATAAAGGCACTCGTATCTATAGTTATTATTAAAAAAAACTTTTGCAACATCATTTGTAAGAGTTTATTAGCTTATACCTTGATTTATAAAGCCGAAAAAAAACACTAACATAACATAAATATTTTTGGAACCGCAGAATTGCATTTTCAATCACTGTGCGACGGCGCGGCGCGGCGGTCTGTTCAAAAAAAAGAATCAGGGCAAAAACACGTACAAAATTCATCACAGAACTTGCTGATGACTAGGCTCTAGTTGCAAAAACATTACAGCAATTACAAGAAATGTTGAACACATATACCTGGGCATACGAGGCTTTGGGTCTTAAGCTAAACATCGACAAAACTAAAATCATGTGCACTGTGCCCTCCCTCAGAAGATCACAACAATGCTATAAAAATGGGAGAAAAACGATTGGAATATGTAGCGGAATTCGAATACCTCGGCAGTTTGATTTCGGAAAAGGTCAATATCGACTCTGATATTCAGCACAGGATTAGCAGCGCCTCAAGAGCGTTCTGGAAATTATAAGACAGGGTTTTCTACAATCATGACTTGAGCACAAAAACGAAACTTGCAGTGTACCGAGCAATAATAATTTCCACCCTGTTGTATGGGAGCGAAACCTGGGTGCCGTACCGCCGACACATGAACGTATTAAACAAGTTGCAACAGAGACACCTTAGACAACTCTTAAGAATCAAATGGTTCCATCATGTCTCAAACGTATCGGTCCTTAAAATGCTAACTGCGAGAGTATTGGAGTCATGGTTACAAAATCCCGCTTAAGATGGGCTGGTCACGTATGCAGAATGCAAGAAAATCGCATACCAAAATCTCTCTTTTACGGTGAGCTTGTAGACGGTAAGAGGAGGCCGGCCGGGGGGACAACTCAAAAGGTACAAGGACATTTTCCACGAAACCTTAAAGGTGATTAACATGCAGAATGTGTCGGAAGAAGCAGCTCACAATAGAGCTCATTTGAGAAGAATTGTAAACTCAGTTAAAAGCGACAACCAAAAAGTAAAGAGGCATCAAAGCAATGAGATTTTTGAATGTCCGGAGTGCGGTAGACAGATAACATCACATATCGGGCTATTCAGTTACAGAAAAGCTTATGAAAGAAAACGCCTTGCGTGACCATCTTCTGATGCGTGTCAAATAATCGTCAGCGAGTAATGGCAGTATGTATAGAAAGCTTAGCGGTAAGACTTCTTGCAACCGGATTCCTGAACCGTACAATTTGCAAGGCTTTTGAAACATTTATATTTCTATTGAAATAATGCTAATAAAAATGTCAAAAAACATATCAGATGTGAAAGAGATCAAACTAAACATTTGCAATAATTACAACCACGCAGTCTGAAAAATTTAGCATTTTTTTTAACTTTTGCGCAAGGCTACTTCCCCTTATTTGTTAAATTCATCACATTAAAAAGTTATAGATATCTAGTGAATAAAACAAACTGCAGAAATACACATTCATCTCATTTATTTTTATTTGTCTACTCAGTAGCAAATTGTTTATATACTTATCGACATCAGACAGTGGTTTCAATAAATACAATATACATACATATAATATAAAATATCATAATATTAAGTTACACCTTATTCTAGTATGATAATGTTTATGATTTTTCATGAACTATGGCAACAACAATTGCCGTGTGAGCCTTGTTGATGGAAGTGACCATATCCGCTCTTCGTTTTGTCGTATTCGTCAGTACTTCGGAGATGGTACTGCTTTTTGTAGTGGAGTTTAGGCTTTTCCTCTTGGTTTTTATCCGGCACCACTTGAATGGAGGAATGTTTCTGAAAATTAAAAATATTACTTTTTTAGTGAGTTGTTGAAAATGGAGTATATGCTGTATTATATGAATGATTAATTTTTTATAATCCAAATTGGTTTATTCTAAAAACATCAAAACTATCTTCAAAAAAGTCTGTATTTTTCCCCACCAGAAAATAAATCTTGAAAATAAAATACATATTTCTCCAAAAATGTCCTATGGGTATTTCCCCACTGTAAGAAAATCTACAAAATATAAAATTTTTATTTTTTGTAAACACTGCTACGTTAATCCAACGGAGACTAATTGTCAGCAGTGGATTTGCAGACAAATTTGCTTACAATGTAGCATTTTTTTGTCCGTTACGCAAATTTGTTAACGCAGCCAGTGTTTACAAAAAATACCTATTTTATTTTGTAGATTTTCTTACAACCAAACTAGCATTTATAGTGGCAGATACGTAACTGCTACAATCAAAGCCACTACAAAGTGGGCGGTGACCATCGGCGGCTACGTCGTATATTCGTAGCTGCAAGTAACTGCGACCAAAATTGGGAAAATTTTTGAGTAGCCGGGTAGTGTCTTGGGTAGTTTTTGCCACTAAAAAAGCATTCTTAACGTTCTTACTATGATGTGTTACTATAAAATAGCCTACTGGTGAATATGACTTATCTGTTACGAAGCTGCCTAGTCGCGGGTTCGTGGCAGCCAAGTGTTATCCACCGACATGTGGAACTTTCGTTAAACTGTTAAACTTTATTCGCAGCGACCTCTTCATGCAATTTCACATTTAATAGAAATAAATGTCATGATGGAAAATAATTATGGAAGTCATTATTATTTTTTCGTTATATACCGTGCGATTTTAACGCCTTTTTAAGGTAAATTCCAGAACGGAATAAAATAGTAGGTTTATATAACAAAATTTTCGAGCGCCTCTCAAATTATTTCAAATTATTATATTATTTGCAATAGGAACTCATGCCTGTAATTAAAAAATAATAATAATTTGCTTGACACCGGGGCCAAACTTTAAAATATTAGTCCACCCTCAGAACTAATAAAATAACTAAGGAAAAAAGCTTATATTTAGCTTAAAAACGCATAATGTTTGAGCCATTTGTCTGTTCGTCTAAAAATTCATGAAAAAATATGACCGTTTAATCCGAAAAATACTTTATAGTTCCATATGCTTCCACAAAGTACCGGGAACAATAACATGTTAGGCCAACCCTACCCGTTTGGACCTTTAAAATCTTCGGATTTATAAAGTGACAATTGTAGCTACCCAAAGGCAACTTTATAGAAACAATAACTATTTTGGAACTACATGGTCAACGATTTTTTGGAACCATAAAGTGATTTTTTCCAAGAAAGTTCCCTGCGCCACCAAATTGGAGCGTTATGCTACACCGATCGCGGCGGTGGCGACTATACATTCCATTGGTGCCACTATAAGGTTCCGCCTTGTCTTTTGAAGTTATTTTGCACTTATTGTGCATTTTCTATTATAGTATAATTATATTTACTATATATTAGTGTTTCTGTATTATTCAGAGCTACATGAGGTATAGAGTATTTTAACGCCCACTCTTTTAGCTCTTGTTTTATATTGTTGTTGGTTCTCAAATTAGTTCTCCTCTGAGATTCAGTTTCAGATGAACTAACACTACACTCATCTACAGAAACAGCTTCAAAAATGCCTCAGTCACTACCTGATTTATGATGTTCATTAGTAGGATTATAGAAAGATGTAGTTTTTGTTTCTGATGTTGATGCATCGGCTCGCAGTGATTCCTTTTGTTTAATTCTTCGATAGAAAGTACTAGAATATCTAAATTTCTTTTTATTCGCCTTAGGGATTTTACAAAATTTTAATAAAGCTTAAAAGCAAGTAAAAGAAAACACTAAAACAGAGGAGCACACGATGCAATCTGAGGCAATTACATTTATTATGGTATATTAAGTTATAGTCACTATAAAGTAGCCGTTTCTGATCCCCGTGACTTTTTAGTGGCAATGGATGAGCGACGGCTACTTTATAGTGGGAAGGTAGTTTGGTTTGGTTTGATTAGCAAATTGAAGGATTTGAAGGATATATATTTTTAATTTCATACTTCAAAATTGCTCTCACTCGATTCAATTGAATAATAAAGTTCAGAACTGTTCCGCGCCATATGCAGGCTATCGCGCACAGCTTCTTTCAGAACCGTTCTGAGTAGCCCAGGGCGTAAAGCTCTGGAACTTGAAATTCGCGAATGGAGGACAGCATATGTGAGCGATGGTGCCCACGGTCCCACCGTGCAAATTTGGATACGACGCACGTTTCGTTTACATCTTTATCAGTGTGGGACTAACGATTTGATATTGAAGAAAAATGTGGGTCGATTTCTGCATAATTGGGGACGGGCTACAGGATGACGCCCTCGACATTTCGAACCGATGCCTCTAGAATCATCACTATTTTTCTTAATTATGGGTCGATTGGAACCAAACTCGGCACGTGGATAGAGGTACCCGAATGGAGATGGACAGACGGTTATTTTAATACAAATTTTGTGAAAGTGAATTAACAATAACAACTGTCAATGTTTTTAATTGTCTATTACTTAGTAGAATTTGTATTTTGATTCTAACCCAATAGCATTTTTTACTGTTTTTTTTTTCAAAGGCAAAATATCCACATGTTTTCCAGTAACCATTTTCTACTTTTTCTTTTAAGAAATTAGACCCTCTTATACTCTAATTTATTTTTGTTTTTTCATTACTCAACTAATCTATTGTTTATTGTTTATCTAGTAGCTTGTGTCTGTTCTTGCAATTACCTAGCTCAAAAGAGTAATTAAAGCTAAAACTAAAACTGGCTACAGTAAGAAGAATTTCATAATGAGACCTTTGATTTAAGTCAGGAAAGATTTAATAGAATAAAAATAGATTATATTCGCGTCCAGTCCGAATGTATTATCTTGATTTTTCTATACGTAGTACCGTCCCTGCGTGCACAATTTTAAAGCTATAAGCCAAATTCCCTCTTGCCACCAGCCCAGGTGGCGGCGCCGGACCTGGCGCGGCGGTCGGTATTCATTCGTCTTTCGTGCACGGTGCAGTGCGGATCGTAGCTCTCTGATTTCTTCGTCGTAGATCGATGAAGCCATTTTGTTTATTCTCTACTCATTTTGGATATTACTATGTAATATACGGTGTTCTACAGCTAGGTAGAACACAAGGAACAATATGTAAGTATTGTATAATTTTTATTTTTAGAGAAAAACGAAGTGGACGTAAATAACGGAATATTAGAATTAGATAAAAGAAGAAAACAATAAGAATATTATATATATCGGACTGTTGTACTCTCAGTGAGACAAAGTTCGTACGTGTAAAGAATGTCCTTCTCCTTGTAAGAGGAATTCTCATTTATATAAGGTTCTATATCTCGCAGTCAAGAGAATATTATAAATGCCAAAGTGTTGCATCTCCGAGTGAGTCAAATTTCGTACTTTTAGAGGATGGCCATATGAGAGAGATTCCTTTTATAAGTCAATATTGATATCCCACTATCGAGAGATAAATTACAGGTATCACAGGTAAGTATCTTATAATATTTATTTTCAGGTAATTAAATAATGGAGGGAAATAATTGAAGTGGAAGCAAATCTCTAAATGTAGAAATTAGAGGCAAGGAGGAGACAATGGAAGTAGACAAATGGAGAAAGCAATAAGAATATCGTATATATCGAACTGTTGTGCTCCCAGTGAGACAAAGTTTCCTATTTAGAGAATGCCCTTCTCCTCGTGAAAGGGATTCCTATTATATGAGGTTAGAAATCTGGCTATCAAATAATATTATAAATATCGAACTGTTGTTTTCCCAGTGACGCAAAGTTTCCTATTTATAGAGAATGCCCTTCTCCTCGTGAGGGGGATTCCTATTGTATGAGGTTCTAAATCTCTCTATCAAGAGAATATTATAAATACCGAAGTTGTGCCGAAGTGTTGTATCACCCAGGGAGTCAAATTTCTCATTTTTCGAGAATGGCCGTCTCCGTGTGAGGGATTCCTTTTATAAGTCATTGTTGATATCCCCTATCGAGATATTAATTACACGTATTACCGGTGAGTATCTTATAATACTTATTTTTAGGAAATTAAATAATGAATGGAAATAATTAAAGTAAAAGCAAATTTCGAAATATGGAAATTAGAGGCAAGGAGGAAACAATGGAATTAGACAAAAAGAAAAAATGAGAATAACATATATATATCGAACTGTTGTCCTCTCCGTGAGACAAAGTTTCGTACTTACAGAGAATGCCCTTCTCTTCGTGAGAGGGATTCCTATTATATGAGATTCTAGATCTCGCAATCAACAGAGTACTATAAATGCCGAAGTGTTTTATCTCCCAGCAATGAAATAAGGTATGAAACAAAATTTTGTACTTTTAGAAAATGCCTATCTCTGGAATGGATTTCTTTTTTTATGAGATTTTAGATCTCACTCTCAAGGGAATATTATTTATATATTTAGGTGCCAAATATTTGTATCTCCCAGTGAGACAAAATTTCGTACTTTTAGAGAATGCCCATCTCCGTGTGGGAGGGATTTCTTTTATACGTTATCGATAGCCTTATCGAAAAATTAATTACACGTATTACATGTAAGTCTTTTAGAATATTTATTTTTAGACGAATATTGGATGGAAATAAATAGAAGTACATCCCGAAATGTGGGGATTAGAGGAAAGGAGAAAACAAAGGGATGAGGAATATTGTATAAACACGGACTGTTCTTCTCCCAGTGTTCTTTTCATAGCGAGACAAAGGTTAGTACTTTTAGATAATCCTCTACTCCGTGTGAGAGGGATTCCTTTTTTAAGATATTCCAGAGCTCGCTATCGAGATAATATTATAATAACCGAAGTGTTGTTGTCTCAATGATACAAAATTTTTTAATTTTAGTGAATGCCCTTCTCCGTGTGAAAGGGATTCCTTTATAAATGACGTTCTCGGTCTCGTTATCGT